ATGATGATGATGATGATGATGATGATGATGATGATGATGATGATGATTAGGATTAGCTTGCAGTCTTGCAGGCCTTTCCATCCATCTCTAAGGTGTGAAACCCGCCGGCTCCTTTCAGGTTTCCCGCCCACGCGGAGGTGTGACCCGGTCTTGCCTGCACCTCCGTCGTCGCCGCGCTCGGGCGGCGGGCAGCCTCGGCGGATGGGGGGGGGTCTCGAAGGCTGCGGCTGGCCTGGTTTTGGAGAGTTTATGATCCAAATCAACATATATACCAGCCTCTTCAAAGTGACCTTTTGAAGGTTCCTAAGTGACCCTTAGGAGGCTTATATAAGTGGCCTCAAACCAGGTTATCAGTCACTCTGAAGAACCAGGTAGCACCCGACTTCACAGTCCACCTGCGACGTCCTTAAGAAGGTACCACCTGCACTGACGCCAAGCAAAGGAGACCTGGTAGGGAGGGTCCTGGTATAGGTTGCAAGCATCTAACATGTTACTTAAGCCTATTGTCAAAGTGAATTCCACTGGCCGAGCCCGCGTGCTGCCGATTTGTTTGATAACACTGCACGGAGAACAACTAAAGGGGTGAACGTGGATGAACACCCAGCAAAACTGGATGAAAAAGAAAATGAACCTGCGCGGATACCAAAACCGGTGGAAAAAACACTGGTGGAACGTGAGCTCGCGCACCGCTGCACTCCACGTCCGGACCCGATGCACCGCTGCGGAAAAAACGCGTTTTTCGGATGGTCTGAGACATGCCATAGATCCGGGGAAGGCACTGGAGACATGGAGTGCATGCCATACAGTATATGATGCCTACATTGACGCCCCCCTGGTCAACCACACCTCAAGGGTCTCTTAACTCCATGGGACTGCCATAGGACTGCCGCCAACATTGACCCCTGGTCAACCACCCCAACTGATCGGCAGTCCTATGGCATGGAGTGTCTGGGTAGGGTCATAAACGGTCATAGACATAGGACACATGTGTATAGATATTATCATCGATATGATATATCACAAACCATCCTCATGGAAGAGTCATCAACGGGGATGAATGTCTGCAACTCTTCCAGCTTATCGGCTTGTGTGGTCTGGAATACGAGTGTGCAGCGACCTCCCAGTTTCACCCCCCTGGAAGAAAGGAAAGAAACCATGTCTACTATATTCTACCCTCCAAAACCCATTGGGCCAGAGACTCCGCCTACACTCCATTTGATCCCATAGATCCGGGCTCTCCGGACCGAAGGCCGCCTCTGCCAGCTCCATGCCACGACGGCCGAGGACCAAGCTCACCTCGGTGCACGTGAAACCACAAGCACCTGCACCAGGATCTATTGACTATCCCCAAGCTTCGGATGAATGTCAAGAAGCTCTGGATAAACCCGGCAAACGCGGCGGCGCAGCGTGGCCGACAATGTCATTCCAGCATTGATGCTGGTAGTGACAAAGAGCTACCATGCACAAACGGAACTTTGTGCTATGTACAGTCTTAAACATAACCCCGTTGATGCATGCCATTGTGTTATCCAAAATGACCAGTCTATATGACAGATTATGATAGTATACAGTATACAGTCTCTCAGCAAGGCTGACACCATGCCTGAAATAGGATTCCCTTCCAAAGCTCTTGTGTGCTTCCAAAAGCCTTCAATGCAAGGTAGGCCGCTAGGCCATGTCTTTGAGGGAATGTTCTTAGGCCCTGATGTCTTCAAAATAATCTATCCTAGTGATCTGCTAGGCCAAAGCCTGCCAAAGATTTGAATTCTACTATAAACTCAGTGGAATGCACCGGGCCAATGCTTCGGATGTGGTTTCCGATGTTGGCCTACAGCCGGTGGCTCCAAAAAACGTATGATAGTCACTGGCTGTGGATCCATAGGATGAGTACAGTGTTGAGCAGTTTGGTTGGCATCGTCCATCGGGACAGGCACGAGCACCTCTCAGTGACCAGATCAGTCTGACGTGTTCAAAGATCACCCCTGTGATCTCTCACTGTCCTCCACCACTACGATATTCCCTAAACTCTAAACTAACATGGAAGTTTTGAATCGAACAATTTGCGCCGCCACCAGGCACAACATAAACCCTGCAAAATAAGAACACAGTATAAAACAGTATCTGGAAAAAAACGACTTGTGGTATCCTTTTGTAGTGCACCATTGGCTTCTGTCAGCAAGTTTGCACCTGCCAAGCTCCAGGCCGAACCAAGCTCCACCAGGCCCAACCAAGCTCCAGGCCCAGGGAAAGCTCCAGGGCCGGCCCATGTTGGCGAACTCCTTACGCATCACCTGGACGGAACCGCGATGCAACTGCGGTCAGGGTCACCCTACACGCAGGTCGAAGGCAAACCAGCAAGGCCTTTATATACATGACAGTACAGAGTAAGTGCAGGGCGGTGCAGCACTTTGGAAACATGGGACCCAAGGCCCAAGGCACCCCAAAAACCGGGTGCTTTGGGCAACCGTGTGCAGCCAGGCACGTGTGCGGCCCCCCCTTCGAGACGACCCGCGGTGCTCATCCCGTCCGCCTGCTCCACGTCGTCCACATGCTCGGTGCGAGCCACCCAGTCGCGCCAAAGGCCGCGATAGCTGGCCAGGTCGTCACGAAGGGCTTCCAGCAAAAGGTCCCCAGTCGGCCCTGGATGGCCCGACTCGGGATCCAAGGCCTTACCTCCGTTTGGAAGGTGATTGAACCTCTTGGTGCCTACATCAAATGATACACATGAGCCTATGGTACGGGTATATGTGATTCTCGCGGGCTCCGGAGGAGTGAACGGCATGAGCCTGATACATCATAGCTAGCACTTGCCCAGGGGTCACATGGAGTTGGGTGGTGTGGCTCGTCCCATCCAGTGAGTGGAGGTGACAGGGGCACCCCGACGACCTCCATGGATCGCACCCCTTTAAAACTCCTGGTGAATAGATCGATATTGCATACATCTAACATCATCTAACCGCTCTAAGTCTCTAAGGATAGACGAGCCACGGAGCCACGTTGTTGACATGTTAACTGTGGGGTGACATGTCATGACGGGCGGCTGCAAGTCTGACACTTCGGTCAAGGTCAGCGGTGTCCGATCCTGCCGGAGAAGGCTGATCAGCTCGGCTGATTGCTGATACCCATCTGCAGCAATCAAAATGCCGCTGATGAAACCCAAAGCATCCATGGGACTGGAATAGTTGCACAAATGTGATGTACCGTACCCCCTTTGAGACCCATCGATGTAAGTGATCGTTCCATACATAAACGGTCTGCGCATGGAGCTGCTTTGGGAAACAAGTGAGTCCACCCGAGGCACGCACGAACGATTTCGGTTGAACGGTTACGCGGCAGCTTGACGTTGATTGTGACCATCCAATACCGCCCTTAGGCATTCGCCGCGCATCCGGCGCAGCCACAACACTATAGAGGAATAGGATAGATCTAGCTTGAGAGAAACACATGAACCCTGCCATCCGGGATGGGTTCATATACCTTTGCACATCGGCAGTGTTCGATGGTCCCAACCATGGGAGATGCTATGCGGCCATGGGATTGAAGTATGCCAGCACCATGCACCAAGCAGCCACTGTCGTCCCAGTGCCTGGCACCGGACAAGGGGACCCCGTTGAGGAAGTGGCTCCGGGCGCCTCGGCAGTGGCTAGTCTTCGCCGGTGAGGGGGGCTTCGGTGGTTTGGGGTTTAGCATGGAGACAGTGGTTCCGAACCCCCCCAGCTAGCTGGGTGGTTCAGCCTGGCTAGCTGAGTTCACTATGATACGAGTAGTTGCATGTCATTTCCGTCGCACATACACAAAAAGAACACGTAAACACACACACAGTCACACAGTCACGCCATTTCTGCCGTTCTCAGCATCCTTGCTTTCGTCCCCCCCTCTGCCTATGGACCAGACCTGTTGTGGCTGATTCTACCGTGCGGCCGGCCCCAGCGGAGTCCGTCAATCCCACGTCGGTAATCCCCCCCAAAAAGCTGGTTCGTATGCGAAGACCAATGAAGAAACAAAACATGGATCAAGCAATGCCGGAAAAATAACGCCTCTATGTCATGCAACAAAAAGGATCACGTGTTTACGTCACCGTTCTCTTTGAGTGAGCTTGTTCTAGCTATATTTAGTGGGACCCAGAAGTAAACGCCATGCTGGTAAAGATCATGTACCAGGTTGTGCCCGAATGACATGGTTGGGCTTGCACCCACAAGAACCGAGCCATACATGGGAGAAGGCCATGGGGCTCCAAAATGCCTTCTCAAAGGTAGTTATACTGGTGTCAGAAATGCCCACAAGAAAAGTGGTTTATATGAATCCCCATCTGAAAGACATCTTCGGGATTGCGCCATCTATCTACTCTACTTGTGGCCCAGAGGGAGCTAGGCAAAGAAACAACGCTGGGGCTCTTTAGGCAGCAAAAGCCTGGCCGGGAATCGCAACATGCCATGGCCAAGGGAAAAGGAGAGTGCCAACAGCGCCCCCCCCCAATACGACCCCAACACAGCCAACACATGGCAACACACAACCACCCCAGCAACCGCAGCAGCAGCAGCAGCCACAACAACAATAACTGTAACCAGCAGCGGCAGCGGCAGCAAGCAGAAGCTACCAAGCAGCAGCAGAAGCAGCAGCAGGAGTAGCTAGCAAGCAGCAGCACCAGCTACCAAGCAGCTACCACGCAGCAGCAGCAGCAGCAGCAGCAACAGCATCAGCTACCAGCAGCAGCAGCAGCAGCAGCTACCAAGCAGCAGCTACCAAGCAGCAGCAGCATCAGCAGCAGCCACCAAGCAGCAGCAGCAGCAGCAGCAGGAGCAGCAGCAGCAGCAGCTACCAAGCAGCAGCAGCAGCTACCAAGCAGCAGCAGCATCAACAGCAGCTACCCAGCAGCAGCAGCAGCAGCAGGAGCAGCTACCAAGCAGCAGCAGCAGCTACCAAGCAGCAGCAGCAGCAGCAGCAGCTACCAAGCAGCACCACCAGCTACCAAGCAGCAGCAGCAGCAGCAGCAGGGAAAGAGTGAGCTTTCCTTAGAGTCTTTTGTGCCCCAACATTTGGTCTCGAACAATAGCTCGTATAGGTGCTGCCTGAGTAATTGTAGAAGGGCGACGTGGAAAGACAGATATATCTGATATATATGTTTTTTTTCCACGAATAAATGCTGACGATGCAGCCAGCAGCGGTGTGCATGATTGACATCTAGGGGTTGCATGCGAACATGTGTCAGCGACCGAAGACTCCGTCGCAACGCTTGTGCATGCTCCCCGTCGCTCGAACGCGGACTACCATGAGTGAAGCAAACAGCCCGTTCAAACATCTTACTGGGTTCTGTCATTCATGTGTGTAGTAAGTATCATCTTTTGATCTGCATGGACAGCGGATAGTGCATTCTGATTTGTACTCTTGGGGGTTGTGGGGTGGGTACATGCCTGTACAAGCTTCTTAAGGATATACTCAGAGGGAATGCAACTACTCTCGATTCTAACGAATAGGCTTTCTTCAGCACCAACAGCAGCCAACAACCCCAAACAGCAACACCAGCAAAACGGAGCAGACAACAAGCAGCAGGCAGCCAGCATCCAGCAGCAGCAAGCATGCAAGCAGCAAGCAGCAGCAACCAGCAAGCAGAAAGACAAAAGCATCCAGCAGCACCAAACATGCAAGCAGCAAGCAGCAGCAACCAGCAAGCAGCCAAGAGCCAGGCGCAGATGAGATGCCAGCAGCAGCAGCAGCGACCAAGCAGCAGCAGCAGGTACCGAGGAGGAGAAGGGTGGAGTTGAACCCCGCGAGGGGGGGGGGGTATAGTCCTGATATATCAGGTAACAGCACTCAGGTCCTGGGCTCCCACCCTCCTTGCTAAAGCAAGACAGACTCCAGCTAGCTACAGCTAGCTTTCGTGAAAACCACTGTAGTAGTGAAACACTCTAGAAAATCATCCTACCTTCTCACCAGGCAGTTGCAAACCTATACATTGGCCACTTAAAGAATGGCCAACTGTGCCAAACCAAACCCACAAATCCTACCATTTGGAAACTGGAAACTCAATCCGTTTTAGGGAGCTGCACCCATGGCTATGGGTCGTAAAGTCATAGCCCTGAAATAGTAGGTCCAATCGCTTTTTGGCCCAACCCCCCCAGGCTGCTTCCCAACCGCTGCAACAAATCTCCTCAGGTCATAGATCCTTTCTGAGGATTGGTTTGGGGTTCCAAGTGCTGCTGGAAGTGGTCTTTCAGGTCCAAAGTGGATGCCCCTCAGTCACCCCCCCCGCAGTAGCACACCTGTCGTTGAAGAAGGATCCACCACAGCACCTTCCTGGCAATGCTACGAGGAAGTTGATTTGGTAGAATGGAGCTTAAGCAATTCATTACGGCCCTTTGGCACCTCAAACAAAAACATTCCTATGTTGGACTCCAACTATGTATACCTTCAAAGGTGGGCTCACTTTCGGGGGTCTAACATGGTCTATATAACTATGACTATGACTATACCCTTCTGAGGTGATTGGAGCATTGTGGGGGAGGCCCTTCCTTGTGGGCTGGGAGCTTGTTCAACAGCACTCCTCCCAAACAGTTTCCACAAACATCACAAACAGTTTTCTACTGTGAGAAAGGGGTCTGCCATGGCCTGCCTAAACAGTTGTGAGAAGGGGCATTTGTCCTTCGATCAGTTGTTTCATAAGACATCCTCTCACAGGCAGGGCCGAAAAAGAAATGTCGCCGACCGCTCCGAGCCCACGGTGGGAGGAGGGTTGAAGGACTCGGAAGTCTCAAAACGGTCTTCATGAGTAGATCAACGCACAGCCCAAATATCCTCAAGAGTTTGGCAACAAGCATTCCGCTGGATGTTCCACTGGGTATTCTCGTGGCACTACCATCGCCGAAGCCCAAGTGAATAGGCATAATCAGCTGCATCCGTCGGAAAAGAAAAAGCTCACTTGGGACGGTGCGCGCCCACAGCCGGCAAGCCAGCGGAAGGCAGTCCACACCAGGCGTCGGAAACAAAAATAACAAACACCACTTGCTCTACGTCAGTTCTACCTTTGAGGCACCTCTGTCTTGAGCACCCAAGCGACACGAAACGTCCGGAAACGTACCTCATCGGAGATGCCGAAGCCCACACCAGTGCCTACCTTGCAACCGCTGGACGTGAGTGCAGTAGGGTTTGTTGCGGGTTGAGTGCTTCATGCTACTGGTATTTGTGGCCCAAACAAGTCCAGTTTTCCACGCAACCGGAAAAGTTCAATTGGCTCAACCCGCCATAATTGGAATCTCCAAGAGATCAAGAGCAACAATAACGAGAAACGTCGAGAAAAGCACTTCTTTGTATAATCCTAAAGGTCAATGGGGTACAATCAACCACCCAAGTTCGGGTACCATAAGGATGCAAAAGCACAACATCATATCATGCCTCTGACTTTGAAGCAGTCGGGCTGGATGCATGCATATATAGGGAGACCTCCCAGTTCGAAACATTGAACCTCGGGGTTCGCACGGAAACTTCGACTAGTCCACCCAGCCAGGTCCATCCGCGGGGGTTCCCTCTTCCTCTCTGCATCTCTCCGCGTGGTCGATGCCGCGAATGGTCGTCGAAAAGGTGGTGTTCGGATCGTTTGAGGACGTCGGCAGTTGTGGTCAGCTGCATCTGCAGGTCTCTGCAGAGGTGGGATGCTGAGAACTGGACTTCAAGAGGCTGTGAGCTGAAGACCGAACAGGCCCACTCGGCCACTGAAACTGATGGGGCTAGACAATGCACAGCAATGTCATGTTCCAAGTGTGTGGTCTCCAATTGGAATCTGCCAAGACCATCACCTGGGTGAGAGGTTCCAACCGGCGATGGAAGGGACTTTCAAAAGAGAAGCATGGAAGACGAAGGTCAGGGATGAGAATGGGATGCCAGGCGTTTGGGGAGTCCGATGGATATGGGGCTTCCGGAGGGTAACAGTTACCGCCGCCATTCCATGGATATATTAGACGTCAGTGTGCGAGGGATACATGTGAGTAGGATTTTGGGGTGCCCCTTCCAGTCTTCATGGATGGTCTGGGATATGGGGAGAAGATGTGAGAAGAGAAGATGGTCTGCCCTGGGCACCCCAGCGGAAAAACACGCGAGACGAGGGGGAGGCACCATGCAGCGCGAACACCCCAACCTGGCGAGGCTGCAAAACACAAAAGAACATTGACACATCAACAGGGTCATGTCCCTCCATATGCCTGTCATGCCATCCCTGAGAACAAACTGGGACCCTTCCTACAATTCTTGCCCCATAAATGAAATTGAAGCCCCCCTATGTCCATGCACCCATGACCCAGTGAACCAATCCAGTTGAAGCTTCGATTCCTTCCATAGGGGGGCCCATTGAGATATGCACTAGTGAAGCGCCATGCCAGGACAAATCAGCAGTCCGCTTTCGTCATCTCCCCGATTGATGCGCCCAACTGTTGATGGCAGCTGCCAGTGGGTGACAACATCAAAAGAACGATTTGGACAAATATGAACTGGTCACGGTCATGATGCTAATTTAGTTCTTCCAACAGGTGGTCAAATGACCGTGCTACTCTATGCTACTCTATGATAGTCTACTGTGCTCCGGAACCATTCGTGGAACGAACGGAGTTGCCCCAGATCCACCAGCCGCCTCTAAGGACTGAAAAAACAAGCCAGTTTGACAGAGCTGACTTCATGGAGTTGGCTACACTTTACGAGCTTTGAAAAGAACCAGGTGACTGGACCTGCGTCATGACTGGACCGAGCAGGGTACCAGCACTGGTATCAGGTCTGGATCCCAGCAGGTACCTGAGTTGCCCGACAAATGTGCTGCACCGTCATGGAGGATGAAGGTGCGATCGCCTCAGCCCCGGGCCCGGACAATCTGCCTCTGCACCGCTTGCGGTGCAAGAGGTTCTGTTAGGTGCAGGATTTAAGCACAACAACCAATGGGGGATATAGGATACATCAGAAAATGACCCACGGGACTGTTGGTCCATGTTGTTCCCTGTTTTTTGACCACTCGAAAGTGGGGAAGCGCTCTCCAGCCCCCCGAACTTGCAGGTGCGCTCCCATGCGCACGGAAAAGAAAGTGTTTGAACTCCACCCAGAGCTATTCATCTGCAAGTCTAAGTTTGTCAACTAGTTCCCAGCGTTGGTAGAACATCAACAGGAAGTATGCTGTAAAATGTCCATGCTTTTCTGATCTTAAGACCGTTTTATCGACAGAACAAACAATAACAAAAACAAAAACATGTCACAAGTACATATGCTACATGACATGCCCGTAGCTTCCCGTATCTGTCACAAGCCTATGACATGCAAATATGTGTTTAAAAAGTATCGTAGTAGCTGCGAATAGTATACTATGCAATATTTTGCTACAGTGTAAAAGAGATGTGTTTAAACCGTATAGCATTATACTACATCAGAAAAAATGTGTATATAGTATATATATATGTTATAAATGCTATATGATGTTATATGAAGGCTTGTATCCAAGAGACAGCAATGTTTCCAGCCCCACCACCTGAGCTCCGGACGGGGCAAACCCATGAGCTCCGCCACGTGGGGATCGGCGCGGCCGTCGCCCTCCCATTGTCTGGGATGCCCGCCGGCGGACCACCAGTCCTTGGTCGGACCAATCGCTGTGAGATCAGGTCCCGGAGGATGAGTGAATTTGGAAGAGATGATTGAAGGCCTCTGAGTATTTGGTTTCTTAGTGTTTCTCTTGGGAGGTTTACAAGGAAGGTATAGATATAGGGTTAGCACAGCAAACTTGCAGCTCCACAGTGGGTCTCTCTTTCTGTTTTTGCTGCTTACTTGCTTCTTTTCAGAGTTTGACCGACGACACCCCTGAAGATTGGCACAAAATGTTTGACGCAACACAGTGATTTGATACTGTAATTTGATGTGATTTCACTGCATGATCCGAAGTACCAGTATTGAGTCAAGAAAGGACATGCCCTTTGCAAACTAGTAGCATGAGGAATTTTGGGTTGTGTGAATGTTCCCCTATATTTCCCTGTGCTCTCTTTGACGTAATACATTTTTTGACGTTAAGTTATCGTGTTTGTTCTTCCCTGTACTTACAGTATCGTGTTATTCATTCCAATTCATTCCATGCTAGAAGCCCATGCAATAGTAGCAACTCACTCCCCTCTTCTGATCATGGAGATCACATATGTGGGCCCATCTACGGGAAGGTGCTTTTGGTTCGCTGCGCTCTCGTTTTTTCTCTCGTGTTGTTATCGTTTTCGCGCCTGGTGCAAACCCGGCAAAGTGTTTGGTCCATACTCAACACGTTCAACCCTTGTGCAAAACCCCCCCCGTCCCAAACAAGAGATGCTTTTTCTTCCCTTATTGTTTTACAGTGGATAGAGCATGCTTCAGGCAACCTGGCATGTATGCAAAGATTGCTTTCTTACATGGCATGTGTTTTGATATTTTCTTATTTGGCAACTTGACGCCAAAGAACGCCGGCCGGACCCCTTTGAGTTGAGAACCAATTGGTCGCTTCGTCCATTCATCCTCAAGGGGCAACAATCAGCCACATCATGCCAAGAGATTGCCCACATCACCCGGCCAAATAAAGAAAATGGGGGTGTCCAGGTATCAGATGAACCTCCATTGAATATATATTGAAGCCGTTTTTCGACCAGCTGAAAGCGAGCCATTCGCGCGTCAACGTCCGCCAAGTGTCGTGGAGAATCCCTGTGGCGTGCTCCAAATCTCCGGCCGTCGACACGCCGAAGGCCACGTGACCATTGGCCTGACGTCCGAGCGGGCGGTCAACCACACGCCGTGGATGTCCGGACGAGCCATAGAATCATAAATGGATATTGGGCCGGCTTGTCAATCATCAACCTGACTTATCGGTGGGTTTAAGATAGGAAGCAAGTCAATAATGAACCATCCTTGAAAAACGACAAAATATGCAATAATAAACCGAACTTTCTCCTGTGTAATAGTAACCCTCTTCCAGATCTTGAATTGATTAGTTTTTGAATGTGTTTGAATTACTTTTAGCTCCGGCTTCAGGTCTGAGGTTGATTTTTGTGAGTAGTATTGTACTACGATGAACAAATTGTTGCACCCCACAACAAATACCAGGGGCAGGTGTATTATTGATATTGCGATGTGAACAGTAGACGTTTTTGGACTGATGTTCGCAAAGAGGTTTACAACATCCCCACCCCCCCCCGGAGATGACCAGGAGTTACATGGTTTGACCATCCATGTCTGTCCTATTGGTTCGGAAGCACGAGTGTGTCGACGAACGGTTCGGTGCCTTTGAACACGTCAAGCATGTCGGATATAGAGTTGGTGGGGAGCTCATTCTCCCCTGCAGATGACCACATGGAAAAAACAAACAAAGACCCTTATAGTGGGTTGAGAGTAAATGGCACAATCCCCAAGTTGGGTGGTTTCTATGGACCCCTAGTTGTCAAAGACTTCTTGGGGTGCCAGTGCCATCCAACCTCTCAATCCACTGTAAATGGAAGACCCCTGAAGACCCATGCTCCTCACCGTCTGGACTCCTCCGAGCAAACCGCCGGAAGGACCGGTCGATCCGCCACGTGCGTTTTGGGGGGGCCCGGAGGGCAAACCCGCCTAGGCGGACCGTGGTGACCGTAGTGAAACAACACAGAACCGCCTTACATCTCCTTAAGATCCGCTGAGGTGTAGGGTCTTATAGGGTTGTATCATATGATGTATCTAATGAATCACGAAAAATGAGAGTTTATTGTGGATGCGGGTACCAACAATGAGACCCCTTCATCCCTCCTGGGAGGTTCATCTTCCCAGTAGTCTATTCTGTAAATTGTCGGTTGGCATGTGTGTGTGCCTTTTCCACTTCAGTGTCCAATGTGGAGATGACCCAATGATGATCATCACCGTTCTCCTCCTCGAATTTGCACTCAAAACGTCGCAAACCCCTAGGAAGATCCATGTCTGTGACCTCAGATCTGAAACCTTCAATGTCCGAGCCAACAACCAAACACTGAAGACTGCTTGGCCAATTCACACTCTTCAGCGCCCCAAACAAACAGCCAAACGATATGCTCTGAAGGCTGCTGGGCCAACTCACTGACTCCAAACTCTGGTTGAAACTCCCACCAAAGGAGAGGCTTTCAAGCCTACTGGGCCAAGCCACTCCTTCCAAACTCTGGTTAAAGTTATCACCGAAGGAAAGACATTGAAGGCCACTGGGCCAAGCCACTCTTTGAAGAGACTTGAGATCGCCGTCAAAGGAAAGACTTTGAAGCTGGCTGGGAAACGCAACTTCTTCTAAACTCTGGCTGAACTGATCGCCAATTGAAAGACTTTGAAGTCCACTAGGCCAAGACACTCGTTCCAAGCTCTGGTTGAACCCCCAGCCAAAGGAAAGACTTTGAAGGCCGCTGGGCCAAGCCACTCCTTCCAGACTCTGGTTGAACCCAAGTAAAGACAGGCTTTGAAGGCTTGTGGGCCAAGCCGCGCCTTCCAAACTCTGGTCGAACTGGTCACCAAAGGAAAGGCTTCGAAGGCCGCCGGGCCAAGCCACTCCTTCTAGACTCTGGTTGAAGCCAAGTAAAGACAGGCTTTGAAGGCTTGTGGGCCAAGCCACTCCTTGCAATCTGTGGTTGAACTGGTCACCAAAGGAAAGACTTTGAAGGCCGCTGGGCCAAGCCACTCCTTCCAAACTCTGCTTGAACCCGTCACCGAATAGAAGACTTTGAAGACTGCTAGGCCAAACCACTCCTTCCAGACTCTGGTCAAAGTCATCACCAAAGGAAAGACTTTGAAGGCCCGTAGGCCAAGCCACTCCTTCCAAACTCTGGTTGAACTGGTCAAGAGACAAACTTTGAAGCCTGTCGGGCCAAGTTACCTTTCGCAAACTCTGGTTGAACCTGTGAAAGGAAAGACTTTGAAGGCCGCTGGGCCAAGCCACTCCTTCCAGATTCTGACTGAATGCATAGCCAAAGGAAAGACTTTCAAGGCACTTGGGCCAAGCCACTCCTTCCAAACTCAGGTTGAACGCGTAGTCAAAGGAAAGACTTTGAAGGCCGCAGGGCCAAGCCACTCCTTGCAATCTCTGGTTAAACTTAAAGCCAAAGGAAAGACTTTGAAGGCTGCTGGGCCAGGCCGTCCCTTGCAAACTCTGGTTGAACTTAAAGCCAAAGGAAAGGCATTGCAGACTGCTGGGCCAAGCCACTCCTTCCAGACTCTGGTTGAACCCGTCACCACAAGAAAGACATTGAAGGCTGTTGGGCCAAGCCACTCCCTTCAAACTCTCGTTGAAACCATCACCAAAGGAAAGGCTCTTGAGGTAAGCAAGGCTCCTCAGCTGAGTTAGCCCATCCAGCCCTTTTAGCTGCAGTATCCCCTCAAGAGCCATCGTTTCATCCTCAACTGGGTGACCTTGGAAGCATCTCCAAGCCTCCTGCAAGTTGGCCATCTCATAGGCGTAGGACAAAGAACTTGGTTCCCCTTGTGCCAGCCCTTCTTGAGCCAAAGTCTTAGTTAGTGAAAGCTTCTGAGATCCTTTCATCACCACGACTCTTGCTCCAGCTTTCAACGGAAGTCGGTCCCGGATGATTAATCGAAGCTCAGAGCCAGTGAGGGACTTGGGCACTTGGACCTGGAATCCTTCTCCACTCACGCCCACAACCTGAATTCTCAGCAGTTCTTCACCAAGCTGTTCCAATTCGCTGGGGTACATGGCGTTCCTTTCTCCTTTGTCAGTCTGCCTGGCTCTGAGCAAGCAAGAATAAGGCAACAATCTACAAAGTGCTGTGCGTGTTTTCCATTGCACAAAAAATATCAAAGGGACCCTGTCTAAAAATGTGTTCTTATGCCCTGAAGATTCAGATTGCTGGCGGCTGTGCGCCCCTGTCATACGCGCCCCTGGAGCCAGGATCGAATGTCATTCCAACATACCCCAGACGCGACAGGTACGTAGGAAGGAAGGGCTGCACTACTGGAGGCAAACAATTAACAAGGGGCCAAGCTATGAACAATGCGGGGGCCTCCAGGTGGTGCCTGTAAGTTCAAGGTCTGAACGCTAAGGTCTCTTTGGTATGCCACATGGCCAGGTTGACATGGAGACGGTGTTCAGTAATTTGTTCTTGTTTCATCGTCTGGCAGGAGATCAAATGCTCTGGAAACCTGCTCGAGGACAAACACAAGGCATGCACGCGAAATTCATGAGCTCCAAAACCCAAACACTCCATCTATGGCTATCTATTTGCACACTGGCGTGGTTAACCCGGGGTAGATGTATCTATTCCAGTCCCACCGGACCTGTTTTTGGGAACTGGCGTCGCGTCGACCCAGCGAGGCTCGAACGCGCGAGTGCGAGCTTTGGCCTTCTCATTCTGCAGCTTTGGCAGAACTGAAGCCAACCAGGCGTCAAAGCCCTCTTCCCCTGGAGCCTGCCGAATGGTGGCTGAGTGCGGCGAGGCTCGGATGTGGGAGCCTGTCGGATGGTGGCTGGGTTCAAGCACGAGATGATCGGCGCGTTTCAGACCTGAAATCATCGGAAGTGGGGCCCGATTCCGCATGACCATGTTGACCAAACGGGTGGTTCTCACTCCACTTCCATGATGATGATTTCTGGGAAACGGAAATGACTTGATTCATCTGTGTCAAGGCACTTGGTTTGGCAAAGTCGCTGGACTTAGGACTGCTATTTCATGCTTCTCCGTTTGGATGAGACATCTGGGTTCCGGAAACTGCATGAAACTGCCTCAGCATTCAGTTTCTATGAAACAAGGAACTTGCTGATGGATCCCATCACTCCTGAGTCGTTTTTTATATTTGATGTATAGTACATCCTTTTTTCTACCAGTTCTTGTTGAGTGGGCGGGAAACCATGGGAAACCTAAAAGCAAAGGTTTTGCAGGCCATCCTCTGTTCCCGCCGGATGGTGTGACCTCGGAACTGGACCACGCATATCGGACGATTGATTGCGCCTTCGATCGGGCGATTTGGCAACTCAAGGGACCTGAAGACTCAAATGACCTGAAGCACTTGTAATTTTTTCTCAGAACTCTACCAGGTAGATCAAAACCGTGTCCATTGGACGCCCCTTAAGCTAAAAAACCATTGGACACCCTTTTGATTCACCTGGTAGACTCATTAAAGATAAAAGTTGTCAATGTTGAGCACAACCCAATGTCAATAGATCAATACCAGCACAACCGGGAAAACTACCTCAGAAGTCAGAAGGAAACATGGTTTATTCTGGTCTTACAATTTCGGATCACGCGTGGTCGAACTAGCTAGTCCATTTCATGCAGCAGCTTTGGCTTTCGAGGAAGGACATTCGCCCTGCAGGTGATGTAATCAAAGACATTGGATGATTGTTTCCTCAACTTTTCACATCTTCTCACTCTCAAAAAAGGGGGTTGGACCGGTGCTCCCCTCTCCGCGGTGGAACACGGCCGTTGCAGCTTTCCGCGTTCCGCCGGCGCCTGGCCCAAGCTGGTGGGAGCTTCGATCCAATCCAGTTCTCGCTCACCTAGCGAGAAGGGGATTGATGGGGCATGATGGGGCTGATCAAGGTGTCAAGCTTCTTGGGCAACATGGAATTCTCAGTCACAAAAATGAAGTACCAACACAAATAATAGGTCAAATTTTCAATTTCTCCGGCCTCTGCTTGAAACAATCATGTCCCCTAAGCATTCCCTAAAAATGGATTTGAAACAGGAAAATCCAACAAAATCCGAAATTCGTAGCAGAATGCCAAATAATTTCCCCAGCGCTATTCCATCTGCTGCAGGGAGAACACATATTCTCGGAAAGGCTGTGCATCATACCTATACCGGATACCACGTTTAAATTATACCGGCATAGACCCCAGATAGCACTTCAAGAAAAGTTGGACACCATGGCAAGAGCGGGAGACAAGCTTGGGAGACATCCCACTCAAAGCCGGGGAAACGATGGAAAAGCTAAACAAGACCTAAGTCATCTTATAACAGCATCCGCGTCAAAGGCAGGCAAGAAAATGACAAGGCGGCAGCGGCAGCCAAGAGCGAAATCAGGAACAGAGACAAGCTTGGGAAACACGGCGGCAGCGGCAGCCAAGAGCGAAATCATGAAGGGAGACAAGCTTGAGAGACAAGGCGGCAGCGGCAGCCAAAAGCGAAATCAGGAAGGGAGACAAGCTTGGGAGACAAGCGGGCAGCGGCAGCCAAGAGCGAAATCATGGAGACAAGCTTGGGAAACAAGGCGGCAGCGGCAGCCAAGAGCGAAGTTATGAAGGGAGACAAGCTTGGGGAGACAAGCCGGCAGCGGCAGCCAAAAGCGAAATCATGAAGGGAG